GTAGACCTCGATCTTGCTGGTTTTGGCCAGCATGTCGATGATGTGTGCCTCGAAGTCAGCGTCGTGCACCCCAGTCTTCCTGAACTCCCCAGCATAGCGGTTGTTCTCCCAGTAGTGGTGCCAGTTCCCCCGGCTGTCAGCGCCAAACCCGAAGACGTTCACCTGCAGCAGAAAGGAAGGGAATGACCAGAATCCCCCACCAGGCTGGAGACCTCCTTGTCTGAGCACTTGCTGCACTGCCAGGGGGATTTTCAATGGTGTCCATTCCTCTGCACAGCCTTCCCACCCCTCAAGAGGGTGTCCATCATCACTGTGTCAGGCAACCAGAGCAAGTGATGCTGGTCTTGGACCCAAAGAATCCACATCCCTCCTTAACTCTGCGAGGTTCTGGATCCCAGCAAACCCACCCCGTGCCAGCCAGGACCTGAAGCCATCGCCTACCTCGTCACAGACATGGAGGGCAAAGAAGAGCACCAGCATGCCCGTGGAGGGGTAGCGCCCATGGTGCTCCGTCCAGCGGTCGTGGATGTACTTGAAGAAGGCAGGATTGTAGATCTGCACCTGGGAGGACAGACTGGGGTGAGCACTGGAGCCCCAGCCATGCTCCCTTTGGCATCAACACCCCAGGAAGGAGCACCAGGACCCCTGGGGAATGATGGGATGACAGAGGCCATGGCTCATGCCAGTGCAAGGGATGAGCCCCACGTACCTTTTCTTTGTCCACACGCAGAAAAGGCTTCACAGGGGCATACGTGCTGGGAAAAGAGCAGAGAGGCAGGTGAGCTCTCGGGGGTCCCATGCCCCCGACTCCAGCCTGAGCTGCTGAAGGGCCAATGCCAAGGGATGCTCCAAGACAGAAGAACCAGTGAATCCCCAGGACTCCCAGGGAGCTGCCCCATGGTAGGTGAGCTGCCAGCCTGGTGCTGCCAGTGCCCACTGGGTACTTACAACCTGATCTGGCCGGTGGAGAGGGCACTGGCGATCCAGAGCAGGTCCAGGGTTTTGAAGGGCACCAGCACGAAGCTGACGTTGGCGGGCAGGTTCTTGGCACTCTCAGGGTACATGAAGTGGTGCGTGGTCCGACCGCCCACATCGCCCTCAAAACCCACCGTGGGGGCCTGGTTCATCCTGGGGAGAGAGAGAGGAAGGTGACACCCCCTCCCAGCCACTCCGTGCCTTGCAGATGACATGGGTGTCCCCAGCGAGCTGCTGAATGCTGCCAAGGAGCATTTTCCCAGCCTGCTGATGGTCAGAGTGCTGGGATGACATGAGGGTCCCCCCAGCCAGCCCAGAGAAAGTGGCAGAGCTGGACCCACTCCCACCCATCCTAGCACCCAGTAGTGCCAGCATTGCCCTGTGGGGCTGGATGGGCAGGCAGTGCCCCTGGCAGTGCTCCCTGGCCCTCACCGCATGATGAAGTCGTGTCCATCGATCTCTGGCCCATAACCAGAGCCACGCAGGTTGCCTGAGTTGCCGACCACAGCGCAGCGGCGGCAGTGGCGTGGGTCACGGGACTGGTAGGGATCCTCGCCGGGCACGATCTGGAAGAGCTTGCTCAGGACCTCGTGGGTGTTGTGGGACTTGAACTGGGGCTGCAGCATCTGTGGAAGAGGACGTAAGTCAGGAGAGCATCCGCCAGCAATCCTCTCCTCACTGGCAGAGGAGAAATCTGTGCCCCCTGTGCTGGAGCACACCATGGCACTCCTCGGGACTGGGGGACCCG